AGTTTGGGCTATGGTATGCAATTACAGGCCTAGGATCCTAGGCATGTTCCATGGAAAGTGGTTTAATTCTTTAAAACTCAGTGCAAGACAACTGGCAAAATCTTCTTTAGAAGGGAGGACTGCCCTGCATCTCATGGCTCCAGTAGTCATATTGCTAAGCTTCATGCAGTGAGAGGAACAAAAAGCAAAGGTTTCAGCTAGTTCTGATCCACCTCATCTAAACTATGATACAAGAATTTCCAACTGTCTCTTCTAGTACTGACTTTGCACCTGTCTGGCTTAGAAAAATATCTTATCTGATTTGTGGGAGGAGGCAAACAGGGTCACACTGCGCTGAAGCGGGTGCAGCTTGGAGACAGGAGCAGGCTGAGTTTGGAGTCTGGACAGGGAGGAGTTCAAGACTGTCTGTAGACATGAGTTAAGTACTGGGAACATTAATCTAGCTTTTTTTAATAACTCACATCAGCAGCAGCAGATTATTAACCACATGGTGAAGTTAGGCTTCCCTGCAGTGCCAGTGTGTAAAATTCCCTTGGTAATGTTTCTGCTTCCCTTTTCACAACAAAGAACAAAGCTTTTCTGCGAGTGTGGTGTGAGACATGTAGTGTTCTGCACAAAGAAGCAACCTGGTGCTGTGGAGCTACCTGAGTAGGTGTTTGCTGACCCTCAGTCATGCCAAGACTTCCAGAGAAGCTTCACTAGAATTGGGATTTTTTTTTTTTTTTGAGAAAATACCCTGGGGTTTGAATTACTAGTGAAGCCCTTTCAAGGCCCATTCTAGGCCCATCTTTAGTTTTCTGGTCTGAAAAAAGAGCTTGTGAAAGGCAGTAGCTGTCACTTGGAAACCCCTGATTGCCACAGGAATTGAGGCAGTGATGGCATCAACACTGCAGCTTGTTCTGGATGCAGCCCCTTGAAAGAAGGGAAGTCTTTTAGTTTGACAAAGTGGGGAGTTTGAAGGCTCCCAATGCATGAGCTGGGGACTATTTAATGTTTATTTAACCTGAATGTGGAGTCTGAATGTGGTGGTGCTCAGTTCTAGGCGCACGACGTGGGCTGAAGAAAGGAAGCTGAATACGGAGACGTTTGGAGTGTCCGGACGGTTCCTTCGTGGCCGCAGCTTTCGCGGTGGCTTTCGAGGTGGAAGGGGCAGCGGAGCAGCCAGGAGGACCCAACCCACTCACAGAGCTGGCACGGGCAGGGTGTAACTGCAGAGGCAAGTTCTGCAGCGAGAGCTGACCCCGGCTCAGAGCTCGCTCTGTCTCTTGTCGCCTAATCTCTGTGCAATACATTTTGCTTTCTAATCCCAGGAACACATCAGAATTGGTTCCTTATGGGATCTGGTATACCTTTCCAAGTGATAAAAGTAAATATGAGCCTAAAGTGCTTAGTCTTTGTTCTGTGGATTTCTGGAACTAGCTTGCTTCAGAAAGTGGGAGCTGCTTGTTCCAGCTGCAGAGATGTTTGAGGCTTTATAGCTAAGAATTCCAGAGGTGATACCAGGGTAAAAATGCCATTGCTTTATTCTTGTTGGGAATGGGTGTCTTTGGGATGAAGTCTAAATCTACTTTTTTTTTCCTCTCCTGACCAGGTTCTAACATTTCTCCTGAGAAAATGAAACTGTACATAGAAAGAAAACGACCAACTGCTGCACTAATGTGGGAAAATGGTTCATATTGTTTACTGTCTCAGCTCAAATGACAGAACTTCATGTACTACTGCTTCTATTCTGGACTTATTTTGGACCAGCAATTAACAGCTGGAATATTCTTTAGAAGAGGGAATGTGTTCAGGGGTACCTTCTTCAGGGTGTGGCTTTAATTTTTGGTTTTTTTTTTTGTTTTTAAGTGCAGACTAATTTACAACATGGTTCTTCTTTCTGGGTTTCTCAAAGGCTGCTATAGTCGAAGCTTAAAGTCAGACTCCTTTTCTGTACCCTGAAGAAGATAATCATGCTATTTTAACGTGGAACCAAAGCTCACTTGAAATAAACCAGCTAACTTGTTTGTTCTGAGTAACCAAATGGATTCTTTGGTGCTGCTGGTCTTGTTGTTGGAGGCAGCGTGTGAGGTAGCACTTGGTATCTGGACGAGTGGATTCCTGGTGCTGAGGAGTTGTGTATATTGTCACTTGGGAATACTGGATTGTTGATCATGTAGTAGTGTAAAGGACTGGACAACTGTTTGCCAGCTGTGCGGGTACTGCAGGCCCCCAGCCCACCAAGGTGCTGGGCACTCGCTCCTGCGGGAGGAGCAGCCGGGGCTCTGCCCCCTGCTCCAGTCCCCTGCAGTACGGAACTCCCGGGAAGGAGCTCGGAGCTCCGCGCGCCACGTTCGGACCTCGCTCATGGGCAGTGCTAATGGCAAACAGTTCTCTGTACACTAGTAGACTGTGGTGGAACACTATGGAATGTTTTCATTAAACTAGGGATGGGGAGTCCGTATAATGAAGCTTAACAGATGGGCATGTTTATTTTGTTTCCTCTAACCCCCCCCCATACTGTAAATAGTTTAGTTGTTCTTTTGTTTTTAAAATCTGTATGTGGGGAAAGGGGCTGGGAGGGAGGGGGTTAAATCTGTTTGCATGAATAAGTGGGTTAAATTGCTATAGGCATGTGTCCTGTTTCTGTTTGTTAGGGAATTCTGTTGAAAAAGCACCTTGACGACTGAACCCCTTAAATAGCTAGAATTTTTAGTTATGCATTGACTTAGGTTACTGTAAAAGCTTGGATTTATTTTTGTAGGACTTTCTTGCTCAGAATTAGAACATAGCAGTGGGGCTGCTCTTTGGAGTAATGTAAATTGTAATTATAATAAACATGTAAATGTTTAATGTTTTTTCCCTTGTGTGTTCTGTACACAACCCAGCAACATCAGTCTGTAGGACTTGTACAATAATCTAAGTCAAAAGAAAAACTGTGTTGCAGTTTTAGTGAGCCTGAAAGTACTATATGGTATTTGTACAGGGAGTTTAAAATCCCTGTGAGCCTTTGAGCCCTCTTTACTGCCCTCTGCATTCTTATGTTTGATTGCTCTGGGGAGACCTGAGCATTGAGGAACCCTACCTAGTGAATGGAAGAGTTGCCCAAACAGCGCTGTGTGCCTCCTTCCTTGTGCGCCTGCTGGAACCTGATGCCTCTGTATTGGTGGTGCAGCTTAGCTAGACTTGGTTTTGGGTGGCAAATGCTTCAGTAGCATTGGAGTAGCCATGCAGTAGTCATGGATGGTTTCAGTAGCTGGGCTCATACCAGCAAAAGAGGGTGTGTGCTAAAATAATCTGGAAGCTGCTGCAAGCCTTTAATTTCTCTGCTGGCGAAACAGCCTGTGTGACATGCGTTAAGATAGAATTGCATTGCCAGAATAACTAAGCAATCAGTACTTCATAGCTTATCCTATATAACTGCAGTGAAATGAGACCAAAATTAACTGCTGCATAACAGTTTTTCAAGGCAGTAGTTTCCTTTGTTGCACCTTAAGCCTCAGGCCATGACTGGTGTTTCTGATGATAGTGAAGTTGTTCAGTGTAGTGCTGTACCTGCATCATCTGTGCACTTTGTAGTGGGGTAAGGAGCCGAAGGGCTCTGCCTTCAGGCTCTTGGGCTCATGGGCTGCTGGCCCCTGTCTACCACAACTGCTCCCTCGGGTTGTCTCAGGCAGGTGCTTCCTTACAGGCCTCTCCTGAGAACCCCTTTAAGGAAAGGGCTGACTTCTGCCAGGCACTGGGCAGTTCAGCACTCCCCAACTCCTCACTTGGCTGCTTCATCCCCTCTTGCTCCATGCTGTGCTCTAGCAGGGCAGCTTCTCCAGCTTACAGGATCTAATGCCTTCCTGAGCAGGAGGAGGAGAAAATCTGTGCAGCTCCCCTGGCCTTGATGACTGCCCACACTTCCTTCCCCTGGAAGCCCTTTGCTGTAAACAGCTGCTCAGTTGTGGTGCAACAGGCCAGGAAAAACAGGAGCTGTTGCCGGCTGTGTTATCTGCTGCCTGGGCCATGGCTTCTCCCCCTCTTGCTATGGGGCCCTCCTCGAGGCTTTGCTTGGATCTCCCTTTGCAGATGCTGCTCTAGGCAAGGCTCCTGTCACACAGGTCCTGGGGAAAGTGAAGGCTCCTTCTCACATCTCCCCAAACCTTGCTTCACAGCCAACTCTTTTATGCTTTTTTAAAAAAAGCAGACAGAACCAATTATCACCTGCCCTTTCCAAATGTGCCTGTTTCAAAGTCTATTGAACAGTAAATAGAACCATTTTCTGGGCTTTGGAAACCATCTAACACATGCTTTTTAGTAGTGTAATAGTATAGAAGTAGTTCTCTTACTTAGAGAAGGTACAGGATCTTCCCTTCGAGGAAGGAAGAGGGAACTGAGGCAAGATGCTGCATGGGAACAGTAACAACAGACTGGAGCAGGAACAGACTGTCCCTCCTGCCCTGGACAGCAGCACTAGCACAAACTGAAGTGCAAGAGGAGAAGTTTGACTAGAGCTTTGCCCTTAGTGACAGCTGTGGTAGGTGAGAGTCTGTGCTGTTACTGAGCAGCAGGAAGGCACAGGTCTGTAAATCCCCTAGTGGGCAGTCACAACAGCAACACTTTATTCTGAACCAGATGAATGGTGCAAAAACTAGTGAAAGAGCAAGTCTGCACCCAGCTGCTCTGATACACCTACACCCATCTCATGCTTTCCCAAGCATTACACCCTCCTCCTTCACAGTGCTCTTCAGAGGTAAGTGCAGTGCAATTGTGCCAGGTGTTAAAATCCAGAAGTACAATTTAGGGGGAAAAAAAAATAAATCATCATGCTTCTTAGGGCTTACAACACTATAACAACAACCAGTAAAGAGTAAAGCTAACAACTGAGACAGAGGGGAAGAGAAACATTAAAGTGAAGTGTCAGGCAGAAGAGGAAAAAAAAAGTAAACTTTTGTTCTTCCCTGGGTCTTTCTTGCTATTTTGTAGTTAACCAAAATAGTTGCAGGGTCATTAAAATTAAAGGAAAAAAATCTTTAAAATAAGAGTTAAAAAAAAAAAGTAGGTTTATTGTATGTCTCAGAAGGGCCACCATATGAATAAATGGAATGCCTACGTGTTGTCTATACAGAGTAACCCATCTCTTGAATTAAAAAGCAGCTAAGCAGTTGAATTTCAGTCATCATGATGTTTTCTTCTGTTTTTTCTTTTCATTTTCTTCCTTTTCTTTTTCAATTTCAGCAACATACTTCTCAATCTCTTCAGGGCTTAAAATCTTAAGAGAGAAAAACAAGTGACCCTCAAGATAAAAGCCTCAAAGTTGTATTAGTAAGTGATAGGTAATGCTGACAGGGACAGAAAGTTGTGTCATTTATATAGACACAGCTACATTGTGCAGACAAAGCAACATTAAGCATTCCTTGGTCACTAATAGCAAATAAGAGCATTTGCCAAAGCAGAATGGGTGATTAAGAACTGGCAGTTACTGTAAACCTAGAGCAGTATCAGGGAAACATGCTTCGAAAAGGAGCAAAACAACATCTTACTTTCAGTGGCTGATCTCGTCTCATAACTGCCAGCTCAATGTTTTTCCCACCAGACTGTACAACCTGAATAAAAGTTAAGAGCCCATCCATTAGTTAATTCTAACAAGCATCTTTAAAATCTTCACAGCTGGGGAGATAGCCAAGAATAATTTTGCTTGGTAGCTCCAAGGTCTCCTTCCCCTTAGTACAACTCTAGCAAAAAAACCTCTTCTAGTACCAGGGCACTCATTACTGAGAACACATTTCCAGAATTTCCATTTCTGACTACAGACCTAAACTTTCTACCTTAAATTTTAATACAAAAGCAAAACATAGTGCACATGTATCAAAGATGCACTAAGCCAATTGTTTTAATTGCCAGAACTGGTCTATTTTCCTCCCCTGAAAACTGCTAGTAAATTCTTCTGTGTGAATTATGGAAAGCATTGCCTTAAATACTCTGAAGCTTGAACTTAGTGCCACATTCAAACACACAGCGCCCTCAGTTCACAACACCAAGTTTTAGCAGATTATTTTATAGTGCTTCCCTGGGGCTCGCATGTTTCTATGTACTCATATTCAAGAGGTCAATAGATGCATGGTGGAAAGTCAAACTAGGCTTCTGAAGCACTCACCTCGAGAAGAGCCTTGATGACAAGTTTAATAGTTAGGTCATCTGTTTCGATGGCTTCATCGGTGTAGTTTTTCTCCAGGAATTCACGCACAGATTTGGCTCCCCTGCCAATGGCATTAGCCTGAAAACATTGAACAAAAGATTACACATAGAAGGCTTTTTCTTGTTGCCTTAAGATGCCATTTACACAGGTTGTACACTTGTATAATTGCAACTATACACTTGTATAATTGCAAGCTATTTTATAGCTTATACAATCTTACATGAGTTATTTTGTAGATTTGATCACTAAGGACTTCTGCAGCTGTGAGCCAGCACCATCTGCCTAGTTACATCTCCTTTTGACAGTCTCTCTTTAACAGAGACATTAACTCTTGAATATTTCATCACGTATCAGACAGATGGAACCAGCTCACCTTCCAAGCATGGTAAGTGCCAGATGGGTCAGTCTGATACAGCCGGGGAGTTCCATCAAAGTCAAATCCCACAATAAGAGCAGAGATCCCAAAAGGTCTGCGGCCATTGCTTTGAGTGTATCTCTGGTAAGACAAAAGGGACATATTTGTTCAGAAATGTTTCCAAAAGCTTTTCTAGAGCAAAAAAGCAGAATCTGTAGAAGTTATAACCAAAAAAGGCATTAGAAGTATTTTAACAGTCTCTTTTACTGACCTATTGAGGTTAGTATTCCTTGCCTTGCAAGAGCTCACAAGTAATCAAGTAGGACGAAGTTCATTTTCAGCTCCTTAGCATGCATGAAGTTTTCCACATGATTAGTTATCAGAAAAGAATCTTTCTGTCTGCAGGCTACTGCCAAGAAGCGGACTAAAAGCCCACATATAAAACTATGTTCCGACAAGCACACTTAAGAAGCTAAGAAAGCAGATGATTACATTTGAACACAAAGTCAGTTTTCAACAGTAGTTTGCAACTTCTCTATTAGAGGACATAGTTGTCACTGCATATGATGCTAAGTTGCAAGGAAAAAACACAAGTTATAGCTGTTTCCCTGGCATCAATTTAGCTAAATAGTTGCCACATTGCACATAAGCAGTGGTCATGAGCAAGGAGGCCTGATATCAGCAGCACTATTTTAATAGGAATATAGTTAAGACAGTGAAACTGTTACAGTTTGTAACAGTTTTAGAGAATTTGGGAATGGGCCAAAATGAAAGACTACAGTAAAATTTCTGTAAGGAAATAATTCCAAAGTAGTATTCTGCTCTGGTAGACTAATAATTATTAAAAAAAAAAAAAAAAACACTATTATCATTTCTATACTGCTGCATCTGTAGATGAGAAAGACTTCTGTTAATCCCCACCAGTTGCTGAAAAATAGTTTAATGCAATGGCAATTTAATAGTTTTACGACAAAATGCAGTTGGGCATATTTTGACATTGCAGTTCATTTTAACATTATAGTTTATTTATATTCATGAATATCAAATATAAAACATACGTGTATTTTCTTCCAGGTCTGAAGTGCTGCTCACTGACCATATTTGAAAGGTATCCGTAGAGTTCAACATACCTGCTTCAGGCTGGCGATGTAGCGCGTGATGTATTCCACAGTGACAGGATCCTCCACCGTGAGTCTGTGGCTCTGACACTCTACACGAGCTCTATTTATAACTATTCTGGCATCAGCTGTAAGCCCTGAAACGAGAACGCGCTCAGTGCACGTGCGGGCTCACGCTTCATGGTGCACGCACAAACAACACATCTAGTCTGCTCCAAAGGGGCCAGGGTTGATCAAAAACGAACAGCACGTCACACAGCAAATGAGATTACACTTTCCTCAAGTTTGCAGTGCAGGAAAAGCACTTTTGAAGCAATAAGGAGGAGTTTAAGTAGAAAATTTTAGCTTACAACTTCCACATCTGTGAGTTAGATTACTTGGTCCAAAACTATGTAGTATTATCAGAACACTACTGGCAGACTGAAAGCGTTCCATCAACCAGCCGTTCAGCAAAGCAATTTCAATTCTCAAACATTTTGGTTATAATTTCTTATACAATCCCCCTAATTATGAGCCTTCCCGCTAAATTTGGTTTAGTTATTGGGGATGTATCAGTATAATGCTAGTTGCTGAAAATAAGTATGAAGGCTTGAAACTTGTTTCAAAGAAAAAGCTCTTAAGGAATATATATAAAAATAAATAAAAATAAAGACACACACACACTTCCATGCCCCTTGTGTAAGTTTGGAACAATCGAAATTGGTCAAGGCATTTGGAAAAAAAGAGATAAAAAAGTACAATTTTTATACTTCAAACCACTGGGGACACATTGTTCATTCAGAGCAAACCTTCTGAATTAGACTGTAAGATTTTTCTTTGTTTTATGCAAGACCTTTTTCAAAGCTTAGCTTTTTTTTGGCTTGCTGCCCACAGGAAAAGGTACCTATAACTGATTAATGCCTCTTATCGCTCCTGTGATATGTACTAACATGTATCCCTGCTCCTCTACACCACACAGCTATATTTGTGCCAGTGACACAGCACTTGTTTCTTTTCATCCTCATGTTTAACCCAAAGGACCTTGTTAGTTCCAACAAATGTTTCCTTTCATTACATCACTGTCTCTCTATATACATTTATACATATACTGGAGGACCTTGTTAGCTCCAACAAATGGTTCCTTTCATTACATCACTCTCTATATACATTTATACATATACTGAGCTGTCTTATTCAAAAAGAACAAACAACTGTATGTATTCCTTCCCCAGTTATGCAAAGCATTTTTGTTTTCAGAACTCATAAACCTTCCCAAAGATCCAATAACTATTAAACCTAACTCGAAACCCTGTAGAGATCACATACCTGCAAAAGCCATGCAGACATTGTCATCAAGGGCACAGATCTTCCGTACAGTCCTTTCATCCTGAAGTTTTGCCACAGACTTCTTCTCCACACCCAGAACAACAATATCCTTCCCTCTTACTCCAACCTTTAATGTGCAAGAGAAGAAACAGTTAAGATAGGCCCCTAAAAACAGTAGTTACAGACCTTACTGAAATGAATAGAAAAAAAAAATGAAGCCAATATGTTGTTTTCTATTGCAACAGCCTGAAAAATAAAGGACTGATGCAAGAAGAGAAATTGCATTAGATTCCAGAATGTGCTTTCATAATCAGCTTACACCATTTAAATCTATGCTGCTCCTGAGGGGTATATTCCCACTCCTCGCAGCTGTTTTTTCCCCAACTCTTCCCAATACCAGAATCAGTGTTTATGCAGCTACTCAGGAAAGAGGGTAAGGTAGGTGACCCTGCTGAAAATTAAACCCCGAAAGGTAACAAGACTGAGTGGCTGGAACTATTCTTTTTGGTAGCAGCAAGACCCTAAATAAGCTTAAATTGGTTATGAAGCCATTGTCTTAGGTACAGAAGCAGGATCAAGGTAAGACTGTCAGGATGGCTGGTCCACTGGTGTTGTTCAAATCAGAGCCACAAACACTTAAGATTAAACCAAGTAAAATCTCCAAATGGGCCTTCTATACTTTTAAACGCAGCTCCTTTCCATAGGAGGGCATGTATAATTTGTTCTTATATGGTGGCCTTGCTCTTATGTGTTACAAGTCTTTCTAAAACCACTAAGAGACCCAAAAAGGGATAAGCTACATCTAAGTTTTATTAAATGGTAGCTCCACTTTTACAGCACCTCCATTTTTTGGGGTGGACAGTGGTGGTAGGTGTGTGAGGAAGACAGAGGAGGAGTCTGTTTGAGAATGCATCTTTTTATGGTTGTTCTTAACCCAAACATTAAGTTCTCTGGCTTTTTTTGCTTTTCTCACTGTCTCCAAAAGTTGGAAAGTCACCTCCCCGTAATGACACATTTCCCAACCTACGGGAATCTGCAGTTTATGCTAGTACACGGTATGACCATTTGCACGGTGTGTAGAATAACGAATTACAGGGATCGTTATTTTTCAGCAGTCAATTAACAACTTTGCTCCCTTGGAGCAGGCAGGCAGCAGCACCGCTCACTTGGCTGCGTGGCCTGGGCAAGGTCAAATGGCCAGTGCGGCGGCCGGGTCCCTCTAACACACAGCTCTTCAACTCTTTATTTCATAGAAGGGATGTTGAGTGTAAGAGAATATCTTAAACTATTTCAAAGCTCAACGATGGCTCCGAAGCTCTCCCGCGCGTTTCCACAGCCAAGGGACTCTCATGGCGGGTGAGAGGGGGCTCAGCGAGCCGAGCTCGGGGGCTGCGGCCCCGCGGCAGGCCCAGGCCCGGCAGGCCGGGCCGGGAGGGCGCTGCGCTCCCGCTCGCGATGAGGCCGCGCGCCCTCG